TAACCCTATGTGCCTAAACCAAAGTCCTAGATGATATGCATCTAACCCTAACTTAACCCTATGTGCCTAAACCAAAGTCCTAGATGATATGCATCTAACCCTAACTTAACCCTATGTGCCTAAACCAAAGTCCTAGATGATATGCATCTAACCCTAACTTAACCCTATGTGCCTAAACCAAAGTCCTAGATGATATGCATCTAACCCTAACTTAACCCTATTTTATTGAAAAGATGTGTTCGCACCACGATGCAGGGTCTGTGTGTTAGACTACCTTTTTGCTCCAGACTCAATGTACCTCTAACTTATGAGGAATACCTGGAGTCGTGCGGTGTATGGGGCACAGGTTATTGTTTTTTAAGTATTAGATTCATATTAGTATTATTTGAATGAGGGTGAGGGTGTATTGTGATAATGGCCGAAACACTCGGTCCTGATGATGTGTCCAATACAATTTTCTTTTTTTTTTAAATCTAAAATGTATTTGTTTGAAATTTAAAATATACTATAATATTTATAACATAAGATAAGAATTAAAAAATGTATTTTAAATTTATATTCTAATCTATATTTTAACATAAGATAGGATAACTAAAAAAGTACCTTATTTACATCTTCTTTCACTTTTTACCCCTGTGGTTTACTCGAAAACCCCTCATCCTTTACCCCCACCCCCCGTTTCCTTCTCCTGGTCTACGGCCTCCTAGAGGGTAATGGGGTACAGAGATGCTTAGCTGGTCTACGGCCTCTTAGAGGGTAATGGGGTACAGAGATGCTTAGCTGGTCTACGGCCTCGTAGAGGGTAATGGGGTACAGAGATGCTTAGCTGGTCTACGGCCTCCTAGAGGGTAATGGGGTACAGAGATGCTTAGCTGGTCTACGGCCTCGTAGAGGGTAATGGGGTACAGAGATGCTTAGCTGGTCTACGGCCTCGTAGAGGGTAATGGGGTACAGAGATGCTTAGCTGGTCTACAGCCTCCTAGAGGGTAATGGGGTACAGAGATGCTTAGCTGGTCTACGGCCTCCTAGAGGGTAATGGGGTACAGAGATGCTTAGCTGGTCTACGGCCTCCTAGAGGGTAATGGGGTACAGAGATGCTTAGCTGGTCTACGGCCTCGTAGAGGGTAATGGGGTACAGAGATGCTTAGCTGGTCTACGGCCTCCTAGAGGGTAATGGGGTACAGAGATGCTTAGCTGGTCTACGGCCTCCTAGAGGGTAATGGGGTACAGAGATGCTTAGCTGGTCTACGGCCTCCTAGAGGGTAATGGGGTACAGAGATGCTTAGCTGGTCTACGGCCTCGTAGAGGGTAATGGGGTACAGAGATGCTTAGCTGGTCTACGGCCTCGTAGAGGGTAATGGGGTACAGAGATGCTTAGCTGGTCTACGGCCTCCTAGAGGGTAATGGGGTACAGAGATGCTTAGCTGGTCTACGGCCTCCTAGAGGGTAATGGGGTACAGAGATGCTTAGCTGGTCTACGGCCTCATGGAGGGTAATGGGGTACAGAGATGCTTAGCTGGTCTACGGCCTCCTAGAGGGTAATGGGGTACAGAGATGCTTAGCTGGTCTACGGCCTCGTAGAGGGTAATGGGGTACAGAGATGCTTAGCTGGTCTACGGCCTCCTAGAGGGTAATGGGGTACAGAGATGCTTAGCTGGTCTACGGCCTCCTAGAGGGTAATGGGGTACAGAGATGCTTAGCTGGTCTACGGCCTCGTAGAGGGTAATGGGGTACAGAGATGCTTAGCTGGTCTACGGCCTCGTGGAGGGTCATGGGGTACAGAGATGCTTAGCTGGTCTACGGCCTCGTAGAGGGTAATGGGGTACAGAGATGCTTAGCTGGTCTACGGCCTCGTGGAGGGTCATGGGGTACAGAGATGCTTAGCTGGTCTACGGCCTCCTAGAGGGTAATGGGGTCTCTACCTGTCTCTCTCTCTGTTTCTCACTTCTCTCTCTCTACCTGTCTCTCTCTCTCTGTTTCTCACTTCTCTCTCTCTACCTGTCTCTCTCTCTGTTTCTCACTTCTCTCTCTCTACCTGTCTCTCTCTCTGTTTCTCACTTCTCTCTCTCTCTCTCTACCTCTCTCTCTCTCTGTTTCTCACTTCTCTCTCTCTACCTGTCTCTCTCTCTGTTTCTCACTTCTCTCTCTCTCTACCTGTCTCTCTCTCTGTTTCTCACTTCTCTCTCTCTACCTGTCTCTCTCTCTGTTTCTCACTTCTCTCTCTCTCTACCTGTCTCTCTCTCTGTTTCTCACTTCTCTCTCTCTACCTGTCTCTCTCTCTCTGTTTCTCACTTCTCTCTCTTTACCTGTCTCTCTCTCTGTTTCTCACTTCTCTCTCTACCTGTCTCTCTCTCTGTTTCTCACTTCTCTCTCTCTACCTGTCTCTCTCTCTCTGTTTTCTCACTTCTCTCTCTCTACCTGTCTCTCTCTCTGTTTCTCACCTCTCTCTCTCTACCTGTCTCTCTCTCTGTTTCTCACTTCTCTCTCTCTACCTGTCTCTCTCTGTTTCTCACTTCTCTCTCTCTACCTGTCTCTCTCTCTGTTTCTCACTTCTCTCTCTCTACCTGTCTCTCTCTCTGTTTCTCACTTCTCTCTCTCTACCTGTCTCTCTCTGTTTCTCACTTCTCTCTCTCTACCTGTCTCTCTCTGTTTCTCACTTCTCTCTCTCTCTCTCTCTCTCTCTGTTTCTCACTCTCTCTCTACCTGTCTCTCTCTCTGTTTCTCACTTCTCTCTCTCTCTACCGTCTCTCTCTCTCTGTTTCTCACTTCTCTCTCTCTACCTGTCTCTCTCTCTGTTTCTCACTTCTCTCTCTCTCTACCTGTCTCTCTCTGTTTCTCACTTCTCTCTCTCTACCTGTCTCTCTCTGTTTCTTACTTCTCTCTCTCTCTACCTGTCTCTCTCTCTGTTTCTCACTTCTCTCTCTCTCTACCTGTCTCTCTCTCTGTTTCTCACTTCTCTCTCTCTCTACCTGTCTCTCTCTCTGTTTCTCACTTCTCTCTCTCTACCTGTCTCTCTCTCTCTGTTTCTCACTTCTCTCTCTTTACCTGTCTCTCTCTCTGTTTCTCACTTCTCTCTCCATCTACCTGTTCTCTCTCTCGGTTTCTCCACTTCTCTCTCTCTACCCCTGTCTCTCCTCTCTGTTTCTCACTTCTCTCTCTCTAAAGGGTCTACCTGTCTCTCTCTGGTTTCCACTGTCTCTCTCTCTACCTGTCTCTCTCTCTGTTCTCACTTCCTCTCTTCTACCCGATGTCTCTCTCTCTTGTTTCTCACTTCTCTCTCTCTAACACCCTGTCTCTCTCTCTGGGGGTTTCTCACTTCTCTCTCTCTACCTGTCTCTCTCTAGGTTTCTTCTTCGCACTCTCTCATCTCTATCCTGTGTCCTCTCTTCTCTGTTTCATCACTTCTCTCTCTCTACCTGTCTCTCTCTCTGTTTCTCACTCTCTCCTCCTCTCCCTGTCTCTCTCTCGTGTTTTCTCACTTCTCTCTCTCTACCTGTCTCTTCTCTGTTTCTCACTTTACTCCTCTCTACCTGCTCTCTCTCTGTTTCTCACCTCTCTCTCTCTACCTGTCTCTCTCTCTGTTTTTCACCTTCTCTCTCTCTACCTGTCTCTCTCTGTTTCTCACTTCTCTCTCTCTACCTGTCTCTCTCTCTGTTCTCTCTCTCTCTCTCTACCCTCTCTCTCTCTCTGTTTCTCACTTCTCTCTCTCTACCTGTCTCTCTCTCTGTTTCTCACTCTCTCTCTCTTACTGTCTCTCTCTGTTTCTCACTCTCTCTCTCTCTACCTGTCTCTCTCTGTTTCTCACTTCTCTCTCTCTACCTGTCTCTCTCTCTGTTTCTCACTTCTCTCTCTCTACCTGTCTCTCTCTGTTTCTCACTTCTCTCTCTCTACCTGTCTCTCTCTGTTTCTCACTTCTCTCTCTCTACCTGTCTCTCTCTCTGTTTCTCACTTCTCTCTCTCTACCTGTCTCTCTCTCTGTTTCTCACTTCTCTCTCTCTACCTGTCTCTCTCTTGTTCTCACTTCTCTCTCTCTACCTGTCTCTCTCTCTGTTTCTCACCTCTCTCTCTCTCTACCTGTCTCTCTCTGTTTCTCACTTCTCTCTTTCTCTACCTGTCTCTCTCTGTTTCTCACTTCTCTCTCTCTACCTGTCTCTCTCTGTTTCTCACTTCTCTCTCTCTCTGTTTCTCACTTCTCTCTCTCTACCTGTCTCTCTCTCTGTTTCTCACTTCTCTCTCTCTACCTGTCTCTCTCTCTGTTTCTCACTTCTCTCTCTCTACCTGTCTCTCTCTCTGTTTCTCACTTCTCTCTCTCTACCTGTCTCTCTCTCTGTTTCTCACTTCTCTCTCTCTACCTGTCTCTCAGACCTATCCTCAGAGAGCACACGTTCTGTCTCTGTCTCTCTCCGAGGGTCAAAGTTCATATGGCGAGGGATTCCTTTGAGCAGCATGCGCCCCGTGCCTTACCTTGGACTTCTAATAGATCTGCTCGGGTCTTGAGAGATTGAGTGGGGAAGTTCAGGAGATATTTACATTCTCTGACTTTAACTTGATCTCCATCCTCATTCAGCAGACAGGCATTGAGGCACCACACTCTTCCTCTTCATCACTGTTCCAGAGACTCAAGATGTGATCACTCAGTGCCTTAGCACAGATATGCTCTCTCTTCGGCCGACTTTAGAAGTCATCAAGGTTCCAGATACCCAAAGGAGTTCATTGAAACCAACAAGTTGTTGAGTCTGAGTATTGCAACACAATATAGTTTCCACTTTGGCACTAAAGAGTTCATTGAACCTTTTCCATACTGGATGCTTCGTCTTGTGAACGTGTTTCCTTCTGAGTAAGGACAAGGACCCTACTGACCAGAAGCTTTTAGCAGAGGATGGTTTGATCCATCAGAAGCTTATAAACATCTAAGTAGTTCGTGCCCCACCACTGTCATTATTTATATTCAAAACATGTTAGAAATGAAATGCTCTCCAACACGTTAACAACACGGGACATTCAGTAACAGCATTTCAACAGGTTTATTAAAAACACACACACACTCCTCTTCACTTCTTCTTCACCACCGTCCAGCCGTCCTCTTCCTCAGGAGGGTCTGCTTTCCTGCTGACTGACGGAGCGGAGGGTTCACACTCCATCACCTGAACACACACACACACACACACACACACACACACACACACACACACACACACACACACACACACACACACACACACACACAACACACACACACACACACACACACACACACACACACACACACACACACACACACACACAACACACACACACACACACACACACACACACACACACACACACACACACACACACACACACACACACACACACACACACACACACACACACACACACCACACACACACACACACACACACACACACACACACACACACACACACACACACACACACACACACACACACACTTTAGAATAGTAAGGTCCGTCTGATGTGTGTAGATTATACAGTAAACTCAGACAGTAGCAGTCGAGTGTAGAGACTTCAGTGTGTGTAAGACAAACCTGAGGTTCTTCATCCTCCTCATCTTCATCAGACTGAGGGGGGGGGGCCGTGACCTTTGCCCTCTCACTCTTCTTCTGAGACAAGGAGTCGATGGTGTTTCTGAGCGTCTGCAGCGCCCCCTGCTGCCACTGAGAGAACATCTGCAGCAGAGCGTCACACAGCTGCCACACACACACACATTATTACACACACATATTACACACACACATTACACACACATTACACACACAGTATTACACACACACATTACACACACAGTATTATATCACTAACTGTGTACTACACATATAAACATATTGTATTTCATGATATTTCCTTAAATTTCGAACATATACTATAATTATTGTCCAATAATAGTAATAATGAATACTAGTGTGTGTGTGTGTGTGTGTGTGTGTGTGTGTGTGTGTGTGTGTGTGTGTGTGTGTGTGTGTGTGTGTGTGTGTGTGTGTGTGTGTGTGTGTGTGTCAGAGGTTGCACTAGACTTTTTCGCTGCCGCTGACGGACAGGATCGTAACATTTTCGTCAAAATACATTATTACCCGTCGGTCTGTACACGCTCGTGAACTGTTAGCTCCGGTGTTATGCCGTGTTGTGCAGGCCCACTGCACCTCGCGGGAGCACGCCACAGCGTAAAGCATAAACTCAGACATTTCAATGATTTGTAAAGTGAGGTTTGGAAACGATATCATTTCCTTTTTGGCGGGCATGCATAACACTGGAGCCCTGGTGTGTGTGTGTGTGTGTGTGTGTGTGTGTGTGTGTGTGTGTGTGTGTGTGTGTGTGTGTGTGTGTGTGTGTGTGTGTGTGTGTGTGTGTGTGTGTGTGTGTGTACCTGAGGTAAACTCCCGTCCTCCACCACTGTGTTGAACTCTTGGTTCATGATGTCGGACAGGAAGTCTTCAACTTCTCCGCGCTGCAGGTCGGCTGCTCAGGAAACATTTATATTTTACGTGCAGTTATTTAACATGCCGATAATACGCCGTTAAATATTCACTTGTTGACAGTTTTGATAAATAAATGTTACCATGGTTACTTACCGTTGTCATGGAAAAACTGCTGCACCACATCCACCATCCAATCAGCTTTCTGCGTCCCGTACACGCCTCCAAACCCATTATCCACCGCGATCTGCGCGCGCACACACACACACACACACACACACAATAATATATCCAGTAGCAGTACTCTACCCTCTTGCACCTCATTTAGCTGTTCTTCTTGTTATGTGTTGCCTTTGCTTGTAAAGCGGATGGAGCACCATACCAAGTATTATTGTTATTAAGAAAGACCGGAATGGCCTTATAAGGGTTCCGGTGAAGAGCTTGTTGTTTAAAGAGCTAACAGCCCGATGCTAACAGGCTAGCTGTTAGACCCGCAGCGAGACTACCTGTCTGTCTGTCTGTCTGCTCGGGTTATATCTACCTGTCTGTCTGCTCGGGTTTTATCTACCTGTAGAACCGGCCAGCTGAGCAGCACCTGTCTCACCGCCTCAGAGAACAGAACACGTGATGCTGCGGGGGTCGCCATGTTGGATCACTCAGACAGAAGCAGTCGATCACACAGTAAACACAGGCAGAAGCAGTCGATCACACAGTAAACTCAGGCAGAAGCAGCAGAGTGAAGAGACAACATGTCCCGATGGCCAACAGTGTGTGATTTAGGCCCAATCCCAAACCGCCCCCTACACCCTACCCCTCCGTTTGCGCGTTCGCGCGGAGGGTCCGCCACATTAAGGTCTGTTCCAAACCAACGAGTGTAGAGCGGTGTGGAGGGGGAGTGGGCTATCAAGCCCTCAAACAGCGAGTCTGCAGCGGTGCTGACTGGAGACCGGTCTCTACCTGACGGGAGTCACGCTGTGTGTGTCCGTCAGGAAACACGCTGTTTACAAACAGTTCCAGCAAACATCCACTGATAAACTGCGATGTTAACAACCTCATGATAACCTCATATGTTTTTAACTTAGGATCATACCTGTGTTTAGTCTAGAAAAAGGTAAATGTGTGCATTTTATTATAAAGTTGTGCATATTTACAGACTGTTGCAACAACTAAGAAGCTTATAAACATCAGGTTTAAAACTAAAAGAGCTTTACAAAAAAGTAACACAATGAAAGATGTTTGGAGTTTTATTTGAGTTATTAAAGGTGGGGTAGGTAAGTTTGAGAAACCGGCTCGAGATCGCTAGAATTTGAAAATACACAACCGGAGAAAATCTGCCACTTCCTCACAGAGCCCCTCCTCCAACACACACGAACGCGCACATGACCAATGAGGGCACGAGATAAGTTTGTGCACAGATGGAAGGCTGACAGGCAGGTAGGCCATCCAGTTACTTTAGCCGGGCCGGCTCAGATGATTGGTCGTGCTTTTTACAGTACTACGGCTTCCACAGATGATATTTATTTATGGATTTTTTGTCAAAGCACTTCAGATATTCATTGCTATCAGGATGTTAAGAGCATTCCATGGAATATAACAAAAAGTGTATCTCGAGCCGGTTTCTCAAACTTACCTACCCCACCTTTAATTTAAAAATGTTGTCTAAGAGATGCTGATTTGAAACCGTTGTTACATACAGGTACGGCATTTCCTGTTTCTGCCGGAGAGGGGAGTTTGTCCCAAAGCTTGCGGCTGTATTTACTCCCTCCATCTGACAGGAGGAGCCTCGTTCAGCTGAGTGTGGCTACAGACGGAGTTCACTCCGTCACGGAGGGGTAGGGTCGAGGGAGTGGTTTGGGATTGGGCCTCAAGGTCCAAAGATCAAAGAGTTCTCATCAGATGCTCAGCAGCTTCAGTGTAGAAATGGCAATGAAATTCTTCTGACCTGAGCTCCTCCAACAATGCAACATATATCATAAAATACAAAATAGTGCAAGAAGTCTATATACATGTAAATAGAATACGATATGTACAAGAAGAGAATGTAAAATTAAATAATGTACATTAAGATGAAATTAAATACGGTTTATTACGGTGAAAACTTTATATAAATAATATGCAAACAGGAATGTTTATGGATGTTCTTCACAGAGTTCAGATGTTTAATAGTCTTATTGTGAGATGAAACTGACTGAGTCTGGTGGTTTAGTCCTGATGCCAGACGGGGGGTGATCTGTCTCCAAGTCTGGTGGTTTAGTCCTGATGCCAGACAGGGGGTGATCTGTCTCTAATGGCGCTTTTCCACTGCAGGACCTCGCACGGCTTAATACGGTATGGCTAGGCCTCGTTAGGACTGGCTCACTTTATGCTGCGCTTCCATTACAGTTTAGTAGCTGGGGTAGTTACTATAGTAACGCAGTGTAGGCGGAGCCGTGACGTCATCTTCAATGAGAACCCCAGAAAAACAACACAGCCGTTAGCTGTTAGCACTCAGAGCTCACAGCTCCTTATATATGTTCAGAAACTCGACAAAAGTTAAACAAGTACACACCACAGACTGCCTGTGTCATGGTGAATACAGTCGCTGCTTTATTTATGTCTGTATAGGCCGTTGTTGTGAGTGTGGACGGTCAGAGCATATACTGCGTTAGCTTAGCCAATCTCCATCTAGAAAAACACGCATTTTAAAAGGTGTTTCGCCTGCCGTCTGTCTGCAGACTTGACAAAGCATTAATTCATGGTTTTTACTAACCGGTATCAGTATGTTGTTACTTCATCATTTTGAAACGTGTATTACAATTAAATCACGGTCAAATATGTCCATCTTGTTGTAGTTGTAGCCTCTCACGTCAGTAGTTTAGCATACTCAGCCCGGTTGTTGGCCCGGGTCTGTCTCAGAGTCTGGTGGTTTAGTCCTGATGCCAGACAGGGGGTGATCTGTCTCTAAGTCTGGTGGTTTAGACCTGATGCCAGACAGGGGGTGATCTGAGTCTGAGTCTGGTGGTTTAGTCCTGATGCCAGACAGGGGGTGATCTGTCTCTAAGTCTGGTGGTTTAGACCTGATGCCAGACGGGGGGTAAGTAAGTAAGTAAAGCTTTATTTATATAGCACCCTTCTCAACACGAATGTACAAAGTGGTTTACAGTACAGTACACAATTCACAGTACAACTAAAATGTAGAATAAAAGGCATAAAAAGGCATAAAACAACAGCAGGTAATACATAGGATAAAACATACGATAAAACACCAATAAAAGACAGCTACTAACTCACCTCCTCCGATGCCCCAAAGGCCTGACGGAAGAGGTGGGTCTTTAACTGCCCCTTAAAAATCTCTACTGAGGCAGAGGCTCTTAGTGTCTGGGGGAGTTTGTTCCAGAGCCTTGGGGCCACCACCTCAAAGGCACGGTCCCCCTTGGTTTTTAGCCTGGTTCGGGGCACCCTTAGGAGGCCTTGCTCAGAGGACCTCAGGGCCCGAGTTGTGCTATGAGGGAGGATCAGGTCATTAATGTAGGCTGGGGCTTGGCCATGGACAGCTCTATAATGGCGCATTTCCACTACACGGTCGGCCTCGGCCACACTCTGTACGGCTCGGTACGGCTTGGCCGCGTTGGGCCTTAACAGGGCCGACTCACTTCATGCTGCGCTTCCATTACAGTTTAGGAACTGGGGTAGTTACTATAGTAACGCAGTGTAGGCGGAGCCGTGACGTCATCTTCAACGAGAAATCCAGAAACACAACACAGCCGTTAGCTGTTAGCACTCAGAGCTCACAGCTCCTTATATATGTTCAGAAACTCGACAAAAGTTAAACAAGTACACACCACAGACTGCCTGTGTCATGGTGAATACAGTCGCTGCTTTATTTATGTCTGTATAGGCCGTTGTTGTGAGTGTGGACGGTCGGGGCATATACTGCGTTAGCTTAGCCAATCTCCATCTAGAAAAACACGCATTTTAAAAGGTTTTTCGCCTGCCGTCTGTCTGCAGACTTGACAAAGCATTAATTCATGGTTTTTACTAACCGGTATCAGTATGTTGTTACTTCGGCATCATTTTGAAACGTGTATTACAATTAAATCACGGTCAAATATGTCCATCTTGTTGTAGTTCTAGCCCTCTTGCCAGCGCTCCTCTCTCTAGTTTAGCATACTCAGCCCGACTCAGCCCTGTTTGTTGGCCCCGATAGAACCACAATTTTCTAGGGCCAGAAAAGAGGGGAAAAAGTGGCCCCGCGCCGTGCCGCGCCGGAACGAGGCCTAGTGGAAGCACAACCAAACAAGGGGACGGCACGACACGGCACGCTTAAAGCGAGCTACGCGCTGCAATGGAAATGCGCCATAAGTGAAGACCAAAACCTTGAATTGGGTTCTGAGATGGACAGGGAGCCAGTGCAGGGCAGAAAGGATCGGAGTGATGTGGCATGTTTTTTTGGACCGAGTGAGCAATCTGGCTGCAGCATGTTGGACCTGTTGTAACCGGTTTATTGATGTTTTGTTGAGGCAGGAGAACAGAGCATTACAGTAATCCAGCCGGGATGAAATAAAGGCATGAATAGCCATCTCCATTTCTGTGTGTGATAGAACCCCCCTGAGCTTAGCAATGTTTCTGAGATGGAAAAAACAGGTACGGGTCAGAAGTTTTATGTGTTTGTTTTATGTGATCTGTCTCTGAGTCTGGTGGTTTAGTCCTGATGCCAGACAGGGGGTGATCTGTCTCTGAGTCTGGTGGTTTAGACCTGATGCCAGACAGGGGGTGATCTGTCTCTAAGTCTGGTGGTTTAGACCTGATGCCAGACGGGGGGTGATCTGTCTCTGAGTCTGGTGGTTTAGATCTGATGCCAGACGGGGGGTGATCTGTCTCTGAGTCTGGTGGTTTAGACCTGATGCCAGACGGGGGGTGATCTGTCTCTGAGTCTGGTGGTTTAGACCTGATGCCAGACAGGGGGTGATCTGTCTCTAAGTCTGGTGGTTTAGACCTGATGCCAGACAGGGGGTGATCTGTCTCTGAGTCTGGTGGTTTAGACCTGATGCCAGACAGGGGGTGATCTGTCTCTAATGCCGCGTTTCCACTACACAGCCTCGCTCGGCCCCGCTCGGCCTCCTTTGGCCGCGCCCGGCCTCGTTAGGACCAGCTCACTTTGTGGCGCGTTTCCATTACAGTTTAGGAACCGGGTCAGTATCTATAGTAACACAGTGTAGGCGGAGCGACGCTGCTTAAAACTGCCGTGACGTCATCTTCAATGCGACACAACAATGGAGATGTGAAAGCGATCGTTTGCTTGTTTTTTGCTGTGTGGTTTATTATCACAAGAAATAGACAAGAGTTGTTTCGAAAGAGGCGACGTATAGCAAGACGAGGTATAGAAGAAGCTGACGCGAGAGTTCGGGCAGTCCTCCTACGCCGCAGAGACTACAGGACGACTCGAATCACTACTAACTACAATGCTACTTGGTAAGCTAACGTTCGCTAACTAGCAATGTGTTTAGGCTCACGCTCCCTATACGACCAAAGTATTTCAAGTATTTAATTAATTGTAGCTACCACTTTTACGTATTCAAATATGTATGCTTTTGTTTGTGTATTTCAGAAGTTACCGACCGAGCTACCGAGTGGTGGAATGTGATTGTTCCATCTTTCACACACTCAGTGGAGAACTTCAGGATGCCTGAGGAAAACCTACGTGTAATACCTAAATATTCATTGTATTGAACATAAATACATCTTTTCTTTTTCACATACATGTGTTTGTCAAATTATTTAAACCAAAAAAATGTTATCAGAATTGACTATTTAGTAAATATTTGAATTTCAAGCACCAGTACTGCCCCCATAATAATAATCTAATAAATTAAGCAAATATCAAAGCAAACTATAAACATAAATACAAAAGTGTAAAACACAACAGAACTATATTCATAAATGCAAGTGTAAAAAATTGTTAACATGGATGGAGGCTAAAGTATCCACAGCATAAAATAATATGAT